AACTTGACCTGCGTATTATGAATATTCATCAGTTCTGTAAGTTTCAAGTCAAAAGGTAAAATGGTTTTCCACTTATCGTGTTATCGGTGCTGCATATATGCTGAAAAAAGTGAAAAAACAGCATAAATTCCCTAAAAGTGACCCGATCATGCTGATTTTCGAACTTGACCTGCGTATTATGAATATTCATCAGTTCTGCAAGTTTCAAGTCAAAAGGTAAAATGGTTTTCCACTTATCGTGTTATCGGTAAAAGTGCACGGCGACGACGGCGACGACAGACGCAGATGATGGCTATATGTACAGACACATCTGTGTCTGTACATAATAAAAATTGAATTTTCCTGGGGCAAACAACAATTTTCCCATACTTACCAATGGTTAATGAATCCATTTCTAAATTAAAAGTCAGTCCCTGTTTTTTTTTTCTAAAAAGTTTTTTTTTTTTTTTTGTAAGAGAAAAAGAGATTATTACAGATAGCCATCTATGGAGGTAACATGGTCCGATCGCAAGCACAGATTTCAAAATAATTGCTTTAACTGCCATTTTTGTGGTAAAATTATATTTCTATGAGTTGTTTACAAGGTTTTTATTGTGAAATATAGATCTCTTACGAAGAGCTGTTATCCCTTTAAGATCCTTTTCAGTTTTCAGGTAAATATCCCACACCATGAGACAGGAAATATTTCAAAAAAGAAAAAAACTTTAATAACTACATCCTTCCACTATCCTGGACCCAATCTAGAATAATAACATAACCATGATTTACTGCCTTGGAGACACATTGTCATATCATCAGATCTAATATCATAAACTATTTAAATTGCACAACAGCATGGAGAACCACTGTATTTTATCTTGTATTCAAATCTTTTATGGCGTTTACCTGCATGTCGCCTGCTAGTCTTTAACACTCTCCACTTTCTACTCGATGCAAAAGATGTTTGTTAACTGTAAGTTAAGCTGGAGATCTGCACATGCCTTATATTGGCCTAGTTATACATGCAAAAAAACGACTCTTTTCTAGTATAAACCTGCATCTAACCAAACCATGTGCCCCTGCAGAATATCTCAATTTTTTACACATGACTTTCTTGGTCCCAATTCCCTGGATGTGTTTTGAACTATGTCATGTAGATACTAGTAATGCCAGACCTCTAAGGGTTCACCAAAGCATCTCATTTCAAATAATTTTACAACAAATTACAGTACAGCCACTGGTTTTTGTCACAGTTGTGTGTTTATAAGCTGAATTAAACAAACTCCACACCAGTTCATGTGTCTGACATGCCTTCTGGATATGTCCCAGCTCAGTTTGAATGCGGCTGGCGCCCCCCTGCGACCTTTGATTGAGAGTCAGAACTTCACGCTGTACGACCATGATTCATTTTATAAAATGAATAGATAAATTTCACCTATTGTTGAGTGGTGGAGTGGTAATAAGTGGTGACTTTCCAGTCACTCATGGGTCACAGTTAGGCACGCAAATGGTACATTAGTGGGATTGTATGGCTTTTTTTCCTTTTTTACAAATTTAAAACAAATACCTGGTAGCTATGTTTAACACCAAGCAAATCAAAAGCCAACTATAATTTTTGAAAGCATGTCCCTTGAAATTAATGAGATCCCTGAACAAAATGACAGTGTTGACGATTTCCAACTAGTTATAGACTGCATGTCTTTGGTTAAATTTAAGGCGGTCTAAAAAAAGTAAATGACTCCAGTTTTCACAATTTTCTCCCCAAGTTGAGTAAATATTAGGCTTTGACTAAAACACACAAATGAGCTAGGCCGACTGCCAAAGATGCTAGCATCTTGGTAATTTTGATTTTAACTTCATAATCTGTGACGGTCCTCATTTTTCCAAAAGAATGAAAACTATTAGCATTTTTATGTGCTAAGTAATTAAAATGGTGTTTTCTAATTATATGAGTGCTGCAAAAGCCTGTAAAAGTCTTACCTCTGATCCTTTGCCAGTCTTCAAGGGGAGGCCCTCACCTGGCCCTGCCTGGTCTTCTGTATACCCTGGCATGGGGGCCACTACTGGTGCTGACCCTGCACAAATAGACTATCAATATAATTATCACACAACATTTTATATGGCCTGCATAGCAAGGGAAATAAATAATAATCTGCCAATCACTGATAAAATACAGAATCTATAATGCAACAAACAGTAGCCTCCTTTATATTACTAATCTCATGAAGTCAAAGCATCAAAAATAATTCATCAAAAAAATATGACAGGTTTAAGCTACTCTCCCTAGAACAGGTCAACTCCAAAGCTTTTATTTAGTTTTTTTATAGCATGTAGTATAACAAAACATGCTCCCAACCTATTTTCTTAACTTAATTCCTAGCAAAACTTATAAACTATCTTTTTAAACTGTCTATGCGTTCATGACTGAGGTAAATCATTTTCCAGTATTGGATTCCCTTCTACAAGAAGATAGAAGCAAATTATTCACCTGGTGCAAAGACCAAGTCTGAACTGGTTGAAAAGATCTAATTGTGAACTTAAATCATTACTCTAGGCTGAGATGTGATAAATATAACTACAATGAAATCATCCCCTGAAATCTCCACTTTTTTCTCTTACTTTTGTAACCACTGCCCAACGTTTTCGGATTTTTTTCACTAAGCCACTGGTTTTTCTTCTTCATCCATCAAAAGGTATTGGTTCATGTGAAATAATTCTGGAGCATGTGCACATGTGTAACAATCTCCAAGTTTAAAACAAAACACCGTACATTTCTTGGAACCATAAAAAAAGACAACTAGTATAACTAATAGAACATCCGAGATCCGCGTGTGGAGTAAATCCCTAGCAACATGACACCTTCTTACACAACCAAAATTTAAATTGATTTAAGAACGGGGTCATGACCCAGAAATAGTACTTTTAGAAATAGAGCTCCCCTAAGGCAATGAGCACAAACCTGTTTTACTAGACACCAAAAGAAAGATAGTCAAAAAATAAAAACATCTGAGCTAAGATCAACACGTTAAAGAGGACCTCATCCACTTCACGGTTTCTGACTTCACTACGCTCCACTAAATAAATGTTTACATTGCATAAAATAATACCTTGAATAAATACTTTTCAGGAACATTTGGCTTTTTAATACGGGTATTTTTGCTTGATAACAATGGCCAATGAGAACAGGTCCTGTGGGCATTTGATGGTGAAGTAAGTTTTCATTGAAAACTAATGATGGATGAAGGAATTATAATCCAGCCCTGCAGGGGGTGGGGGTGGGGGGTGGGGGGTGGGGGCACTTGCCTGTATTTAGTCTACCAAGTGACCCAGTTGAGGATCCTTATCAGTCATTGCCCTGAACAGGGACACTACACTTGACCAACCAAGCTCTCCACACCTATAAATGTCTACCTCTTGATATGTTAGACCAAATTGACTGAGTCTCATAAACAATAGTTGCCCTTTGCTATCACAGGCCTTAGATTTAGGAGCATGAATGCCCAAATTAACAACAAGAGTCACAATATCTGTGCACAAACATAAAAGTAGAAGCCATGAGCACTGCATCAAAAAGCACAAACAATTTGCGCAGCTTTCATCCTGGTCACTGGCTGTATGTATACATGTAGGTCTGACTGCCTTAAGTATCTTAAGTAATTGTTATTTAATTCACACAGTCAGTATATATGAGTTACAGTTTTAAGTGCTATCTATCATGCAATGTTGTACACTATATTAATTCATAGGGTCAGTGTATCTGAGTTACAGTCTTAAGTAAGTGTTATTTATCATGCAATGTACGCTAAATATAAGGTCAGTAAAAACAGATCAAAATAACTAATGTGCTGAACCTAGGAGAGTTCTTGTTGTCTTCTTGGCTGTGAAAAGATTACCAAAAAATGCCATTTAAATTCTTTAAATTGCATAATAATGCAAATATTTGAACTTGCCCTGCATTTTGATAAAATAAAAAATCACAATAAATTCTGAAAGAAAGCCATGATTTTGGAGTCATCAGAAAAATGATATAGAAATACACTCATGCAAAATACCACAACAGGTACAATAATGCTTCCATAAATTATCAATCTGTTCAATTTATTTAATAAGACCTACATTTTATCATCATGCGAAACCAAATTACATAGACAGGCAGAGTGCATCATTGTATATAATAAACTAAAAGGATAATTTACGTTTAAATTTCAGTCCCATTCTAATGCAAAAAGTCAATTTTAAGGTGAATATTCCAGATAAAAATACTTCTAAATGACAAATGCAATCTTCAGCCGCATACTTTTTGCCATAGATATTTGACTGTCTTACCAGTCACAGTGTTCACAATATTGGACATTTTGCATCACTTCACTATGGCAACAGCAGAATTATATATGAAAATCTTTGCTATCCCCACCTAATCTCTTATATCCTTCAGAAGACCCAGACATACAGATATACCAATCAAAAAAAATTTTTTTTCAAGTTTGCAATCTGTCGTCAATTATATGCCATAGTAGATAAAAACGGGTAAAAAAATGCCTGATTTATTCTCTCTTTTTTTTTCTATTTTGCAAAGAAAGGGTAAAATTAATCACAAACTTAATCAAAATTTTGACTGATTATGTAAAGATCAGTGTATCTTGACCTAGATTTCTACAATCCCACGCCAGCAAGTTCAGACGTATCAGATGGGTCATACATAACCTAAAGTTGTGTAATTGTCACTAAATTCTTGTTACAGCATTAAATTTGCAAACTATATTTCCACATCTTTGTTGTTAAGTATGATAAAGGACTTGATACACCTGTCTCAAGGCCTTTCAAACAATTTTCAGCCTTGAATAACTCTTTACATGATAGGTGTAATGTGCACAAAACAGCCCAGTAACTTTTCACTGACAAAGAAGGGCTGTTCTTGGGTAGAATTAAAATTAAATGCTATCCTCAGCAAACATGCTATATACCCATCCGTTTACTTTAAAAAAAAAATAAAGGGCCTCCTGATTTAAAATATTTTTTAAAAAAAAATCTTCTTCTCCCCCTGAATTCCAACCCATTTTTATCATTTACACTTTCTAGACCCTCTTTCAAACATAAGAGGAAGTCCTCAAAAAAAAAAAAAAAAAAAAAAAACCCTGAATACATCTATGACAAATGCCCAAAACATTAGACTCACCCTTCAAGAAATCAAAGAAAACCAGAAGTGTTTTTTCGTTGTTTTCCCGTCATGCCCAACACAAACACTCTGTGTTGTTAAGTATCAAATGCAGCATTCATGTGCTTGTAAATGATGTGTTTAGTACACTTTGTTTACAACAACAAGCCAAGGTCAGAAATGCATGATTTTATCTAATTACGCAGTTTGAATTTTGATTATTGAATTTTTTTTAATCCAGTTTTCGTCGAGATCTTGAAGACATTAGCTTTACAGCTTGCAGCACATTTAAAGCTTTCTATCTCAAAATCAACTCAACTGTTTGGATTGAAATTTAAAACGCTTCTTATTTACAAGATATGAGAGCTTTAGCTGTCATGCTTTTTCCACAATGCCCATTCAAATTTGAAAATGAGCCATTTTCTGTTGATTTCTTGAAGAGCAAGTCTAGTCTAAAAGATGTTAAATAAATTCAGTTTACATTATATTGCTTACATTTTCTGTAATACTTACTCTCTGCGGATTGCTTCAATAGGGCATGAACCAGCTTCAGGTTACTGTTTTCCTTCCAGTTGCCGTACAAACTGTTCCCATTTCTTGGTGTGACAGCTTTCCAGTTTTTGGTCAGCATTTCGGTCAAAAGTCTTCTGTGTGACACAGACAGTGGAACACTGGTTTGACTGCCTTGTCTGTTTATTTCCACTGGTTTATCATACCCTCCTTGTGCTTGTTGATTGCCTTTCCCTGCTCTGTCTCCATTTACACTATGAGAAGTGAGACTGCTCTCTCCTTCTTCACAAAGCTTTTCTGAAAAAAGTTGACTTTTTGATTTTTCAGGAGCTGATTCTCCGTCCTTGTTTGCATTGTCACTGGTTTTCACCTGGTCTGTACTAGTAAGTAACTTCTTCAGCAGATCACTTGAATTATCCACAGACTCTTCTCCTCCGCTTTCCTCCCCCTGGACCTCTTCCCCCCGGGGCTCCTCCCCCCGGGTCTCTTCCCCTCGGCCCTGTTCGGGACAACTGTTCTCAAGTGGTACGTCCATAGGTACTGGAGTTTGTATGTCTCCAGGCATCACCTGCTTACCATTACACTTCATTCTTCTTATCTTTTTCTCAGTTGTAAACACTCCATCTAGAAGTCCTAGTGGGCAGACTCCACATACACGATTTGCTGCATTATAGTTCAATAATCTTCCATTGTTGCCTTTCTGAAAATCATAAATATTAAATACATAAATTTACATTGGCTGGAATGAGTTTAAACAAGTTCTGACTGCCACCTAAAATCACCTTAGTGCAGTGTTGAAAAAAATAGTTCAGACAAACTTGTTTACTGGCTGTCAGATCAGGACCTCTGACATCTTAGAGAATAAAGCAGTGCACTAAGGCCTGTCTGTCAACATCCCACAGGTAGCTGGAGAATACTTAAATAGCTTCAGGGTTGCCACTTCAAGACACAGGGGGCATTTTGCTTACGTTTCTTTTTTAAATCTTTCAAAAGGGAAAATGCATGCCAAGTTTCGTGATTTATTAGCATCATGACTTCGGCATACGGTGTCTAAATGATTTATATTTTATTAATTAAAGAAAAAATTTAGAATTCACACAGTGGACACGCAAGAGAGAGGGATGACTTATTGAAATGAGAAATGTGCACGAGTACAGTGCTTTAAATCATGGGAAAGGTTATGTTTATACTGGGTGTTAGGGAAAGTATCAAAAACATGATCAAAATTGGTTATAGTATGTAGAGAAATCATGCAATATGTCAATTTTTCTTAGAAGAACTACGTCTTTGATGCTACATTGATAAACATACAAAAATGACACTATTCTATAAAACAAGACTTGTCAGAAAGGAATTTTGCTTACCAGAAAGGAAAAAATACAAAAGGATCTTTTCAACTGTGCACTTAACATCATAGAAGAATTTCATCAACTGTGTTATATAATAAGCATAAAGTCATTTTTCTTCAATTAACAGCTAATATTGACAGCTTATGTTACCTCCAATATTTCGAGTGTCTCAGAGCGTCTTCATCAGGGAACAAGGCTATCCAGGTAAATAACCTCTATCCAGGAGATATACTCCACCCCCCCCCCCCCCCACCACCACCACCACCACCACCACCACCACCACCACCACCACCTAGTGTCTTAAGAATGGCAGATGTAGGTCTGGGTGGATTATCCCATCATTTCTGTTGAGACTCGCCCATCTTCTTGATGCAAGCGGCTTCAAGGTCTTTTCTGTATTGTCACATCAATTTTTTTTCAATCATGGAACCATGTGTACGGATTGTTCCTTTGGAACATGTGTCCAAATTGTTCTGTTAGAACTAATCTAAACAAGAAAAATCTAACTACGTGAAAAAGTTACCCCCCCCCCCCCATTTTAGACTGCCTGGGCCTCTATAATTGATAAATTAAATATAATAACATATGCCATTTGAAATTTTGCTAAAGCCTGTTTAAGATCACACCTCTAAGAAAGATTGCATACTATTTCATAAGCATGGTTGTTGACTTGTGAAATCTGTCATTTAGGCTTGTAAAAGAGAAATTCAAAAAGCTGATTAAGGTGTGGATATAGCTTGTTACATATTAGGTGCCTAGACTGTGGTTAAAACTTCATCTGATGACTGTTTTTATTGAACTTAATGTATTCACAGGTCTGTATCCAGCAATTTCAAACACCTAAGGGGGTTCTTTTTCTGAAATAAGTGGACCTTTTACCATGAACCTTTGTGTACCTAGAAAAAATATTACTCAGAGGAGATCCTTTCCGGGCTAACAAAGTGGTGTTTGAACCCCTTATAGCCCCTTATCATAACTGAGTATATTTAGGCAAGTCCTCCAATCCTTCTGAAAAAAATTATTAAAAACGAAGCAATTCTTCACTTTTAAATGTAGCATGGAATGGCCTTTATGAAATGGAGCTGTACCATTGGGTCGGTATCTTTGGATTGGCCCCGAGGTCAACAATATATGACTGCAATGATATATGATTCCATGATATATGATTAAAAATGAAGGCTATCAATAGGCCAATGATACCAAACTCTTCTCTACTTTTTTTTAAGCTGCTGTCAAAGCACAATAAAAAGAATAAGAATCACAAATTCTCCCTTGGACAAAAATTAATGTGTATTAAAGCAAGACATTACCCTTTTCTCTATTCCATGAGGATTTTGTAAGCCTTTATCATGGATTTCAACTGACATCAAACGGTGAACAGGATGATGTAGCCTAGGGCGTTCAGTGTAACTGGAGTGAGTTTGAGCATGATTTGAAATCTGCCTCTATTTTATTTGTGATTTTCAAAGCGTGTTTGGGGCATTCATGTTTCACAAAGTCTCTCTATTTTTTTTTTTTTTCTTTTTACTCTTTGGGACCTATTGGGGATTTAACAACATTCATTTTGAATCCTTTTCCTGATTTTGATTCTTTCTGATTTTATGGTAGGATAGTATGGCTCTGTTAGATCGTTTTATGTCGTTTTGAAGTTTATGCACCCGATTTTAAATCATGAAGCGATTTTCCGACAATCGTTGTCTACCCAATCAAGGTGACAGCCGCGCTTGGTTGCGCTCCACAACATTCTGACACATCTGAGTTTTGACAACATCAAATTAGTCAACGATTCAGGTTAAGTTTTACAACTTAATTTTCGATATTTTGGAAAGAAAAGTGGTGCACTGACTGCGTCGTTCAAATAAGAATGAGTATTGTTGCTTAAATGAGTCCAGTTTGTTTGCAAAATGTGAATTACGCAGAAATATTAACTGATACATATAAATTATACTACCTTCAAAACTTGCAGTCTTCACTGACCTTGACCCTACATCCTGGTCACAAAAAAAAACTGCAAGACAATCTAACACCCATACCTGCACTTTGTTTTTACGTAAAGATAAAGACGTGTAGTGAAAGTTGCGAAAATAATTTTCTTCAAAATTTCCGAAGCACGAAATTGTTCAGATTGGTCTCTTTTGTATCACAAAGTTTGAATCCTTCCAAGTGGAGTCCGGTTGAAGAGCAATTGTGGTAGAGAGGATATATGGCACAACTACAGCAATCCACACAATAATATCCCGTGTGTTAGAAGCTTCCGTTTATTATCCAGACAGAACAGACCACCAGATGTAGACATTATATTGAGGTCACTGTTCAAGGTATTCTAAACACATCTTTCCTAAAGGGGGAGGCTCCCTCATACTTGGTTTAACAAAAAGTAAGAAGTGGGGAAGGATATGCATTTTATAAGATTGCAGTCTACACAACAAGAAACTGAAGGCATTTTTAGCAACCGAGTATACTTTTTATTTAATCATTTCATTCATTTTGGAGAAAATAACTTATGACACATCCATTGTACTTTGAAAAAGAGGTAGACAAAGCAGGACAACCTCTGCACCACTGCACTAGCATTTGGCAAAATAATTAAAATAACATGCATAATAAAATAATATTTAAAGCAACAAATAGCAATCAGCTTGACCATCTCCCATACCAGTCATTTGATAAAAATCATGGTCAAACACTGAAGGCACCCAATACACGGCTGGTGTCAGTGTTAGTTTATTGGAAATATAAACATTAAAACATTACAGTTATATAGCAATTATAACACTTTCTGTTAAAATTCTCATATAAATATAGTTTTTAAGGTGTGAAAATGCACCCTGCAGTTCTGGTGATATAATACCTTACAAGTTCACCACAGTTTATTTGAAATATGTATCCATGGAGTTTGGAAGTGCCCACTCTGAATACAAAATTTGTACTGTTTTATTTCATTATATTCATATGTTTATAAACAGTAACTTACTTATACCCACAGAGAAAAATGAACTACTTGGAACTGATAACTATATTTCATAACAGCTGACGGGAGCCCAATAACACTGCCCCAGGCACATTTTAATAAACATATAATTAATTCACTCTTTATTTGCCAAGGGGTTTATTAGAGACAACATTGTTAACATGGTATATCTTTTTGCAATAAATAATTCTTTTATGTACACTAATTTACATAAAAAGAAAAAATACCCCCCCCAGCCCCACCCTCCATAAAAAGTAAACTTTACATATGATATTGCTTCAAATCATTTTTGTCAATTACAATAGAAAAATTGAAAAGATAGACCTTTGTTGAAAAGATTTAATTTGTTATTACATGTTGAATATTTTTTCTTCGGGAGAGTGTTGGTCTGTAGTATCATCTTCCATGCTCCCTATAAAGCTAAAATGCATTACATCCTGCAGAAAGGGGACCAGCAAAATGACACAAAATCAGATATTTCATGGATAACCGACATTCATCAAAACATGACCAAAATATCAAGTTAATTAATTTTTATTACATATCAAAATGGAAAAATCACTGATGTTTTTCGTAATTAGATCTTAGATACTCAATCAAGAATATAATGCACTTATTTTGTCATCACCAGATTAGGTCTAAGAAATGCAACTGTGGTTAGTACATTGTGCGATCTTAAGTAGCTGGGACTTAGTAGGAAGATCTGAAGAGCAGGAAATGCATGTCAATAACAATGTATTACATTATGTAGTAATACCTTCTCCATGTCGTTAATGTCAAATAGAGACATCCTTCAAGATGTGATTTTTCACACTTAAAGTAGAAAGAGCTGTCACAGGTCCCATATAAGATGTCAATTTATCTTGCACTATTCAAACATACACCATTCACAGATCAATACTTGTTACAATTCATAGAAATGGTGCATCACTGGATTTGTTTCCCCGATGTTACCCATTTCTCACGTTTTTACCTTTACAGATTCCAAATCACAAGCAGGTGAAACAAAGCTTTGACAAGTTGCTAAAATGTATTTTCCACTTCCCGGCAAGGCACTTACACCTCAATCCTTACATTTACTTTAATGTAATCGGAATGAAAAGCAACAATGTAAACCTTTTCTCTCTTATGAGAAGCACCAGTTGCAGTATGGAGTGAAAAAAAAAAAACCTTTTTATCCATTGTCTCCAGTTCACATATCTGCCGTAGAACACATCCAAAACCCTGGGAAAATGAAACTAAGGAAATTATCAAACACACATGTCAAAAACAAGGCATTTCATGCAGCTCATTATGGAAATACTATTCGTTTCTGTCAATCTTCTGCTTANATTCTTTATATATGTCATCATGACCTTAAAAACATATATGCCATGCACAGCACGTGTTCCCATTTTTTGCTTGTCATGCCCCGAGGTGGCATTGCTGTGAAATAGAGCGTCAAACGGTGGCAATACCAGACTCGCGTCGTACATCATATTCACTAGCATAGGGCGCGCTCAGAACAGCGAACTAACAGATCCGCGGATCAAATATGGCCACCTGCTAAAAAGATAGCCGCTGAGTTTCCTATTAGACACTTAGGATTCCCCGCGGGGAATACACAACAAACACTCAAGTGGATCGACCACATTTGATCCGCGGATCTGTTAGCCAGCTGTTGTGAATGCGCCAATACACTGTAGACTACAAAAGAAAGACCTGGGCTCCGTCCCGCAAGAAAATGCAGTAGTATCGAAGTAGCAAAGAAGCATTAACGCAGTAGTGGTGTGGAGCATATTTGCAGTAGAAATGCAGTATAGCCTACTGCAATTCTACTTCAAAAATTACATAGGGTTGTACAGAGAAGCAGCATTAATGCAGTAGATTAGCAGCATGATAGAAGCATGTTTCAAATATGCTAATTACAATGTAGCTCCCACATCGAAGCAGATTTGAAGCATGTTTGCAGTATGATTGCAGTAGTCTACTGCGCTGGAGTATCTACTTCGTTTTCGTGCGGGGTATCTCGAAAGGTTCGCTATGTTGCGCACGTGCGCAACATAGTGCGCAACATAGCGAAGCTTTCAGAGATACAGGGCCCTGGAGCCAACAGTATACTATAACTAGGGCATGTATCCTGGTCTATTGTGCTGCTGTTTCAGATGGATGCTTCGAAGAATACTGTTATAAATATAGGATATTTTATATATATATATATATATAACATATATATTATATATATATGTTATAAATATGGCCTTTTTAAGTCGTGTATAGTACTATGTAAGAAGATTATTTTTCTTCTTCCTCTCGCTCTATCTCTCACACTCTCTTTTTTCTTTTTGTCGATCTGTTTTTTGTCAATTCATATTACATATATAAGAACAAATATAATAATGAAGATTTAAGTCACTACATTATATCCCTGATGCCAGTGTTTTTACATGTATCAAATGAACAGACGGCAGCAATAGACGTACTTGTGCCATCCGACCCCCCTGCTCACTCTTTTCAAAAACGATATGAACACCACCCCACCCCCCCCCCTTGTTTAATAATGAAAACATTGCAACCAGTGAAATACTAAGTTCGCCTGAAAATCTCGTGTACTGGCGTCCGGTGTCTGCGTGGTGATCAGATTATCTGAAATCGTTATAATTTCACGGATGCATAAATTTGCAATGACAATTTGCAATTTGCAAGATGATAATTAATTTGTTTTGTCACGCGCATGTATGCTGACATAGTTGTTGTAACAGCATTAGGACGTGATCAATTCGGGCCTGTCTCTGGCAGTGCGCACACGTGCCTTGGCACACGTGCGCACATCTGCCTGGTTGTGCGTATTGTACATGGCGGTACAAACATCTGCCTGGCTGTGCGTATTGTGCATGGCAGTACAAACATCAGCCTGTCTGTGCGTACATGTGCGTGGTAGTGCGTACATGTGCGTGGCCGTTACCTTCTACAGATTGATTTTCCGCTAGATATTCACTGATTTGTCTCTTTGACGGTTATTCTTTGTTATCTGATAGAGAAAATATCCGCATTATAAAAAGTGCGGCGCTGGCCGTAGCTGTCAATAGATGGTCCAGACAAATACTGTCTGGTATGGTACCATAATTGTTTCCGAATTTCGAACACCTCATTAGCTCCATTTTCTCATAGTTTACATCTTTATTATTTCAGCAACGCGAAAAGCCTATTCTCTGACTTGAGAAACCAATTTGCTTACCGTAAATATTTAATATTCGTCTCTGAACACTTTCGACACGACACGACTTTGGTTTATATTAAGTTTGGATTTTCGGATTAATTCTTATGTTTTCTAAATTTTTCAAAGGTTTTGGGCAATTCGACTGAAAACACGATTGAAACATTGAAGTTGTATTGTCAAGAGCTTTATTCCCCAATTATCCTACTACATGATCAGTATCAGCCAAGCTATCATTAAAAAGCACTTTTGGTCCAAGAAAATCGTATGATTTAAATGGCGGCCATTTCGGCCAGAGTGTGCAAAAGGCTATTATTAATCTTTTAGATTGTTGAAGGCATTTATTCGATAATTTCCTTGAGTATCTTTATCCGTGCATCTGGCCGTGTCGCTGTCCGGAAGTGTATCGAAGCAACGGTCCAGATATTATGTAAATTAAATCGATCAGTTCGCCTGTTACTGCACTATAGAAACCTTACAATTCAAACGCTTTTTATTTTGTACCATATTCTAACTATAATACACGTTAATTGCAGGCGTTTTTCAAAGGGTCGTCCTCGTAAAGTGTGAAATCTATTGATATTGGTACATTTATTGGGTTAGAAACATTTCCCATTCTCAGGCTTAGATGTTTGTTCAGTGTCATCTTAAGGCATCTAAACCTCAATTCGGTGAATTCTTCATAGCTACCCAGTCAATGCGCGTTCGATTGTCCACGTCTCTGAAGAGAACACGAGCAACGTGGTGAATGTCACATCTAAAGAGCACAGAAACTCCTTGACAGTATGGCTTGTTGTTCGGTACATCAACTACTATG